GACTTTTTAAGTGATTGCCATTCACTAACTGGTGTGAGATGGTACTCTCATTGTGGTTTTTGATTTGCATTCTCTGATGGCCAATGTAAAAAGGAGTGATGAGCATTTTTTCATGTGTCTGTTGGCTGATATAATGTCCTCTTTTGAGGAAATGTCTGTTCATATCCTTTGCCCACTTTTTGATGGGGAGTTGTTTGTTTTTTCTTGTAAATTTGTTTGAGTTCTTTGTAGGTTCTGGATAAGCCCTTTGTCAGATGAGTAGATGCAAAAATTTTCTCCATTGTGTAGGTTGCCTGTTCACCTACTGATGGTAGTTTCTTTTGCTGTGCAGAAGCTCTTTAGTTTAATTAGATCCCATTTGTCAATTTTGGCTTTTGTTGCCGTTGCTTTTGGTATTTTAGACATGAAGTCCTTGCCCATGCCTATGTCCTGAATGGTATTACCTAGGTTTTCAGGCCTTCTAACTGATTAAGTCAGGCCCACCCAGGACAATTCCTCTAACTCAAAGTCAACTGATTAGGGTATTCTAGTACATCTGGAAAATACCTTTGCAGCAGAAGCTATATTCATGCTTAAATAACCGGGAGTAGTGTGTATGCCATAGAATGGCTGCTACTTCCCTTCCATCATCTAATTCACACAAGAGATTATCTCTAGCAGCCCACTTATCAAGAAACATTATAGAAAGTTAATTCTGGGGTATATAATTTTGCCTACCCAAGTTGACACACCACAGTGTTATTATATCCTCCACAGAATGCACCATCCAGGACTTTTCCCAGAACTTGATGAGAGGTAGACTTGTTTTGGGAGATGAGCAAAGGAGTTATGAAAGTTTATTTCTTCTTTGTTTTAGGCAACCTTCTTTTTATACTGGAAGCAGTTGTGCCTAGAATTGATGCCTGGAAGTCTTATTGCAAAGAAAACATTCTAACCAAAGAGTCTTCTGATGTCAGAGGGCTCATTTCCTGGAACTCCTACAGACAGAAATCTTCTGACTTCAGGAAACCCAGACACGTTGAAGAGAAGTCAGCCAAGACACGGGCTTCCCAAATAACCTATCCAGAATGGTACAGTTTCTTCCAATACCCACTGGAGGTCACAACTTCACTGCTGATATCATCAGCCATTGTCCAGTGGGAATAGAAGTGAATCCTTTACAGCCTGTTTTAAGTCCTCATAGCACAAAGTACATCAATATAAAATAGGTCCAGGACTTAGTTGTGTGGTCAAAAGGGATAAGATAGAAAGGACAACGATCCTTCTTCCATGAGCTGTATCATCGCATCCTGACCTGTGACTGGACTAGAACCCCAGTGGCTCCCCCCATACTGATGTGAATGGCTCTTCTTGAAGCATGGCAGGTATGCTTGGGTGCCCAAGATTCCTGTCCAGGAAGAGCAGTAAGAGTAGTGTTAAACCTAGGGCCTCATTGCAATTGGATTGATTGAACCCAAGCTGTAGCAGCGATAGTTTATTTATGTCCACTTACAAACTCTTGGCATTCAGAGAAAATGCAGGATTTCACTGCTCCTGGAGGGTGAGTTTGGAAATCTGCAATTGCACTATTTTTAGGCAGAACAGAGGAGGTTCTGTTTATTTTTGGTTAATTACTAATACTTTATATTGCCTCTACAGCCCCTCCCCCACCCATTTCCTCAGACATGGAAATTTTGCTGTCTCTGAACCCCTTCTGTGGACACTGTAATACCAAAAGCCAGCACTAAAATACAGGGGTCTTCCTTAGAATGCAGCAGGAAAAGAAAACAATTTCTTTCCCATATCTCGAAAGGAGACATATTAGTTTTATCATATAGTGGTAATCAGCTATAGCACCTCTGCTATTTTTCAGATTTTTAAGAATTTTACAACTATTTGTTTTTCATTGTGTTTATTTTTAGTTATATTCTATGACATGAAACATTAGTTTTCCATTCTTGATCATGATGTGGGGCTTCTTTTAAACTGTATTTAAATTTGAAGTTTATATGGTTTCAATGGAAATATTAATCAAATGATTCTTCAGGTGGTATTTGGATATGTTAAAAATCCTGAAGATGATACATGAATGACCAAGATCTGGGAAAAGCAACTTTGATTCACTGTGACAGTTACCATGTGCAATGTCTCAGTAAAAGGAGTCAAAGTTCTTCTTGCTCAGTACCTCATAACTCACCACAATAGTTGATTTGGTACCTGATACACAAAGCTACACATTGGTACTAATAGTTGTGGCACTTGTTTTTCTCATTCCAGACTGCGTTAGGGAGCTTGTTTTCCTATCAGTGTCACTACTAAGGTTAATTAATTAATTCAACAAATAGTCAGTATGCCTATTAGGTTTCAACTAATGACCTATATGCCAGATCTGTAAATACCAAGGAAATATGGTCTTTATCCTATGTACAGAAACAGGGGAGCGCAAAGAAGGGACATAGAGAAACAGGAGAGAAGCGAAATAGAGAAGATGTGGCTACAGAAGTTGGAGGAAAACCAGCAGGACTATCTCTTGTAAATACAAGAGTGCTTACCTGTACTTGACAATTCCATTGATCCCTGGGTTCACACCATCAAATATATCTATGTAAGCCTGAATGATACTTATGACTTTTACCTATAAAATAAAATATTCTAATTAGCATGCCTATATATACCCATTACTCTGCATGTGGGAAGCAATCAGTGAATTATTCAGTTCAATCTCATCAGGAGGAAAATCACACTAACAGATACACTCAGATACATTAAGAAATCAAGAATTCAAGAATGTACTGGCTCTGGAAATCATGAGAAGTATGGGGTTGAAATACATAGACCCTTCTCTTAGTGAAGAAAATTGGAGTTGAAAGATGTCCTGTAGTCACTTGTTTAGAAGATATTATTACCAACTAACATATAATCAGTACAATAACAACTAAACTTTATTGGGTGTGTAGAATGTTCCATATTCTTCATAGAATAAATGTTTACTGAAGACCCTCAGAGCACTAGGTTCTAGGTACTGCGGGTACACATGATGATTCAAGTTTGGTCCCAGCCTCAAAGAGCCCACAGTCTAATAGACACAGATAATTATGGTACTGATGTGTGGGAAGCAGGAAAGCTATGAGAGCAGGGGATGTTGGGAAAACAGAGGTGGGCCCCTTTAATTCATGTGGTCTCAGTAGGGGGCTTGTTTAGGAGGTAGGTGCTATTGTTACCTCCATTTGTCCGATGAGACATTAACAGAGAGAATAGTACCTGGTTTATGGCAAGCACTCAATACACATTCCTTTAAGGAATAAGTGGATGTTAAGCAACTTGCTCAAGAAAACACAACTAGTTAGCGCTGGAGTTTTTCAACCCCAAATCTGACTGCCTCAAAGCCCTGTGCTGCTTCCAGTATGCTGATCTCTCTCTTTGCCAGTAATGTCACTCATATTGTGGAGAGCTACTCTCTCTCTGAGGATTCGACCTCCCATAGAGAGCAGTGAGAGAAGGGGCAAGTGCAGTTCCCAAGCCTTTCACATTGGATGAGGCACCGAACTTCCAGAGAAGATGCTTCTAATGTTGCTGTCATTTTCTGAGCTGTCTGGTCTTTCTACACTCATTAAATAGTTAGGAAGGTGTACTGCATGCGTCTGAGCTTCAGGAAAACTCCTTTTAGTGCTGACTCAGAGGCTCCTGTCACATTATAAGGGTACTGGGTCCTGCTGAATTTTTAGATTGTCCGAGAGGAAAGGGTGTTCCCAGGAAGATGGCTATCTCATCAGGAATGCCATGGCCTGCTCTGCAACTCTGTGGAAAGGATGCCATAATCGAAAACTGAGGTATTATCTGAGGCTGTGAAATGTAGCATGTCTAATTATAAACAAGATTGTTAACTGTTTGCTTACCTGTTCTGCCCACCTTGAAATGAAACTGTCCAGTCCAGGTCTAACTTCAAAGTCTTTTCTCTTTTCTGAAAGTAAGAGCTTCCAAAAGGGTGGAACACAGAAAACTGGTGATATTCATAATAATTTTAGTGCTACTTGGACATTAAAATTTTAATTTATTTTTCAGTAAACATGTAGTATATCACAGCCACATCAAGATCTTTTTGTGGTGATTGGGGAAGAGCGTTGATATTACACACTCCACGGAAAATCACCACAACATTTCCTTTCAAGATCTCTGATCTTTCCCTCAGATTTCCTATCCTGTTGGCAATTGCCCAGTTTTTTTCTCACTGTTTAAATCTTTCATCCATTATCAGACTTCTTGTTTCCCCAAGAATAGAAGCCATCCTTCTGTCCTCCCCTTCTGTCATCTGTTTTTACAGAAGCAGAATCTAAGCTTGCGATTTGCATTCTTTCAACCAGAAACCATTTCTGCAATAAAGGACCCCCCTCAGAATACAATCTTTGGCTGACAGCAGGATATTGTAAACAATGAATTTTTTCTCTCTCAGAAAGCATACAAACAAATTTCCCCACCCCTAAAAGACAGAAATTCTAACTGCATTTCAGGAAGAAAAAAAATGCCATACCCTCATCCCATTGGGTGTCCTGAGCATTTTGCCACGGGATCTGGGGAGAGGTCTCAGGGATGAGAAGTTGGCTGATAGTGTTGAGATCATAAATTCCATGAAGCTGTGTTGGAGAGAATGTTGGTGGATAATTAAGCTGACAACGGCCTACGCTGCTTACTCAGCAGTCTGTGGGCTTTGGCATCATATGACTGTGGGTGTCCATCCTAAATCTGTGGTATAGCAGATTTGGGCATCTTTTCTAACTTCTCTGGTCTCAGTTTTCTCGTCTTGAAAAATGGAAATGGTATTATGCATTCTGAGTTGCTTTATGAGGATTGGATGAGAGAATACATATGAAGTGTTTAGTAGTGTGGGAATCTATTATTTATTCATTTTTATTTTGGTTTAATAAAAATGATGAAGAATAAAATATTTAATTGAAGTAAATTGATTTAAGTAATTTAAGGAAAATTTTCAATAAAAAAGTAAAAAAAAAACCTTTTAAACATTTTATTGTATTTCTTTTTGAAGTTATCTTTCCTACCCTGATTGCCCACTTTTATAGTTGCATATGTTACTTTAAGTTAATTTCAATTTTAAGTAATTCTATTTCACTGAAAATATTAGAAAAAAATCAGCACAATGGTATCTATAATTGTAAAAATCTTAAAAGTAGTGAATGCATGACTGAGTTCTGAGAAATGTTAACCCAAGTTATGTCCTATGGTGTGCACTGTGCTAGCTATGATGAGGGATGACACCGAAAACATGAATCAGAATTCCCTGCTCCCTCAACACCTCATATGCAATGGAAAACTTTACTTGACATCTAATACACAATAGCCAAATTATGGTACCTATTGTACTAATCCCATATTGGAAGATAGTTTTCTGTTGCTATGAGTAGCACAGTAAAATATCAATTAATTCAATAAATACTCGATAATGCTTATTGTATTTCAGTCTAGATTTCCTGAGGTCTAGTGGGTAAAAGCTGATGCATACACAGAACATAAAAATGGGACTGTAAGTGATGAATTAAAAGCCTTTGCCTGGCACATCAAAAAGACAACTACCAAGAAGAAGAAAAATTCAAATAGATTGAAAAGGAGTTACCACAGGAGTATGAGGAAAACCAGGAAAGTCATCTCCTTGTGAGTGTGAAAATGTTCACTTATGTTGACAGTTTCACCAGTCATTGGATTCACATATTTAATTCTCTCAAAATGATATCTATGAATTTAAACTCTGACATAAAATAATACAATTAGTAGGCTTGTATTAACTCAACAAGTTTTTTTCTTCCAATAAGTATTTATTAAAGACTCATTGTGTATCACAGTTTGTATTTGAGAAAGTTTTAGTAAATCATCTAATGGGCTCTCACCCTAAGGCCAGATCAGTGAATACGATAATAACGAGTTGACCAAGATTCATCAAGAGGCAAATATGTTAGGTGTGGAAGGTCTGGAGAATTATAAACCCCGGGTACAGATGAAAGGCACAAATCCGCCTTGAAATGAAGAGAAGTTTGAATGTGGTGGTGGAATACTAGCTATCCTTTACTGAGGGGTGGGTCACACAATAAACATTTCCTGAACATGACTGGGCTTTTTGGACACAGAGAAGAACCAAGCCAAGGCTACAAAGTGCTTTTAGTCTAGTGGTCAGAAAGTTATACAGAAATGTAATTGCCAAACATTTTGATGAGAATACTGACAGGGCTGAGAAGATGAGTCACTGGGTTTTAGAGGAAGGCCTCTAAAAACCAGGCTGAGGGTGTGTGGGTGTGATCAAGCTGTACAAAAGTTTAACTTGGTCAGGGACACAGAGCTAAATAGCAGTGTGGTCAGTTTTCATCACTGGATCAGCCTGATTCCAATGCTCTGTGCAGTTTATTCCAAGTTCACGCCTACAACAAGGCCATCTGTTTTCATTTGGAACTTAAAGGTGCACTTCCCCAGGCTCTGCTTTCACTTTCCATCATGCTTCCTTCTCCTTTCAGACTCACCATAAAGTGAAATAGTTGCCCTCAGCCTGTTGGTTTCAGAGCAGCAATTTTGAGCTCTTTCCTAGCACTTTACAGTGATGGTCTTTTCTGCTGGGTGCTGAGATTTTTTAGGCATGAACCCTATTGGAAGCATTACACGTGTCTCATCAGGAAGGGCAGGTATATTTCAGAAAGTACCATATACGTGAAGTGTTGTCATAGTGAGTGGATAGAGGTCTGGCTTTGGAGACAGATAAATATGGATGCAAACCCCTGCTCCATTACCTACCACCCAAGTTACTGAACAGGGTAGTTACTGAAACTACCCTGTTTGCTCATCTGTAGAAAGCAGAGAAGGTAGGAATTGATAAATATCTCTCAGGGTAGGCTGGGAAGGAAAAATATGCACTCCTTGAGATTATCTGTTTATGTTTCTGACTGTTAGAGTGTGAACTCCCAGAGGACAGGGATGCCGTCTGAGTCATCTCTGTGCCTTAAAAACTCCAGAACCACATCCAACCAGAGCAGCCTCAGCACATTTTTCTTGTGCAGAGCTGAATCAAGCCTCAGCTGCTTCTGCTCCAAAGCGATGGTGCTTATTTTGAAGATCCTTTCTTGCATCCTAGAGGTCTATGAATACTACTCATATGCCAACTTTAATGAGAATCTCCACAGAGGAAGTTATATTTTGCTCCATTGTGACTTTTGCCATGTCTGTTTCCATTTGAATTTTTGAGCTGCACTTGGATATAGCTGAACCAGAAATAATTTCTCACTCTCTCTGCCATATTAAAATTTACACACAGACCATTCAAGAGGCAGGTCTCAGGCCTTTTAAAGGTATAAGGCTTTATTGGCAGAAAGACTGGAATGTGAACAACAAAAGCTTTCCTTACTGTATCTGCCAATAGCAAGCCATAATATGTCTATTTTAGCCCTAATTCCATTGTGCTGTTAACAGTGGTAACGTGTTTGTCTTATTAACTGAACTGTGAGCTTCCAGAGGCCAGGAAATGTATTTATTCTTGTTTATTCCTCTTTTTATTCCCAGCACCCATGACAGTGCCAGGCACATAGAGGACATTCAATAAATGGTTTTTGAGTAAATGAATGAGAGAGCATTTGTGAATTTTATATAAGAACCATACAGAGGAGGTGGCAGGCTAAGAGTGGTTCTAAAGCAATGCTGATGTTACACAACTTGCAAGTGAGAGAGGAAGAAGCCTCTAGATCTGCTTGAATCCAGAAGCCTGCAGTCTTAGTTGCATTGGCTTTACTAGACTCTGGGACTCCCTGCAGCTTACCTTGGCCACTTTCCGTGGTACTCAGCATTCAGAAAGGAGCCCTGTTTAGGATGGACTTTATGTCCAAGGCTGATTCATAGATTAGATTATTCTTGCAATAAGTAGTTATTATTCACTTAATATGATTAGCTATCCCTCTAGGTGCTGTGGATTTAGCAGTGAAGAAAACTGAGACTGTTCCTTGAGTAAATGTCCCTGCTCTATGAAAGCTGGTATTCTAGTTCAAAGAGACAGAAAATAAACAAACAAATGCGCAACAAGGCTCACTAAACAATAGTATTTGAGGATTAATTATCGTGAGATAAGTATAGCAAATTGCAGACGAATTTAATGCATGAAAGTAAACAACATAATATGTTCTTATTTATCTTATGCGTGTAATTAATAGCAAGTGATATTTTTGAATTAAATATACGATTATATAAGTAAAACAGTATGAAGATTCTTGAGTTTTGGGAACAAATATCTGATTAAATAGCTATTGCTTCAAGTCTCTTTCACCAACTCACACAGCTTCTGAGAGCAGAAAAATATTTTGATGGAGAGAATGTCTGAGTAACACATTCTTTCTCTGGCTGTAATATCATTACAGATTCAGCCTTGTCAAATTATGTTGAATTTTAAATACAAACTGAGTCCTTGTAAACTAGTCATCAGGTATTTTATGCGTACTTATTATGAGATTAACATTAAATTGGGCACCAGAGGTACAAGAGAATGCTAAATCATTCTCTGCCTTCAATGATCATATAGCCTTGTTGGAAGACAACGCGATTTGACCTTTCACACTGGTAGAACTCAAGACCATTTGAATTACAGTGAAGGGAATGGAATCTAGATTCATAAATACCCTTGGTCATTACTTACTCGTTTTGTGACTCTGAACATGATCTTGCACTCCTCTGAGCTTATTTACTCTTGTGTAAATTAGAGATAATAAAATCCACCTTTTGGGGTTGCCAGGAAGATGAGAAATGACTCCTGTACACAGTAGAAGCACAGTATTATTAGTCTTGTACATTGTGTGAGTATCAAAGATTAGCATAGAGCTATTGGTATAGATTAGGCATTATTACTCATCTGTACTTTTATGGTCAGAAAACGGGAGTGGAAAATAATTAAATGCAACCTGATCCATACAAATATGACAAACAGAAATCCTTTGAGTAGATTAAATATTGATCTAACAATGTGATGGTCTAGCTAGCACCAGGAAACATGCAGTCCAGCAGCACAGTAGATTGGTAAGCTGCTAGCCACTAGGGTCAGAAATAATCATTGTTAGGATGACAGGTGATAGTGCTCATAGCAGTAGGGGAATTCAAGATATCCTAAGATGAGAGATGACTATGTTTCATCATCCATTTTAATGTATACAACAACATTATAAGGTAGATACTGTTTTATACCCCATTTACATATAAAGAAACCTGAGAGTCAGAGGGTAATGAACTTGCCTAGAAATACCTAGCCAGTAAAGGAAGAGGTTATGATTCAAACCTAGGCACTCGGATTCCAGTACTTAAGACATACCTGGGGCTACTTTTCTAAATATTTCACATGTACTATCTAATGTAATCCTTACAGTTACACAACTTTTACTAAAAACTACAGTTCTCATTCAGAAAGACAGAAGAATTTGCATAAAAAAGAATTTCAAGCCCAGAAATACTAGTATTACAGTTGTCAGGAATAGTAACATCCAGCCTACTTCCAGCCTTTCTCTCTCTCTCTCTCCTTCCTTCCTTCCTTCCTTTCTTTTCTCCCTACTTCCTTCTCTGTCTCTCCCTCTCCCACCCTCTCTCCTTCTTCCTCTTCCTCCCCCATTCAAATCCAAGCAATAGAGTATTACCAAGGGCTCTTTAACGTTCTTTTGCCGTGAAGTCAAAGAACTGCTCCTGCAGAGAAAAGGGTTAATTAAGACCATAGAGAAGAACAGTTCACCAAGCATACTAGAGTTTCTGCCCTGGCAAAACATACCCAAAGATGATGGTGACTGGTTGGAACCAGGGATTCCTGGAAACTTAGAACTTTACATTTAGGGCAAGGGACTTGAGATTTAAAGGAAAAGTAATGTTAGGGAAACTGGGTTGTAATTTTAGTCCTGGGGGTCAGTTGGAGGGGGAGTGTAGAAGGTAGGGTCATCTTTGTGATGGACTGGTTCGGTTTTGTCTTAGGGTTGCATGAACCTGTGGGGAGAAGCCAGCAGTCTGCTGTAGGCAGCTCATACCAACTCACTAGAGCTGATGATTAAAAATAAAATTATATGAACTTACGATAAATTATATTAACAACAAAGATAAAATACTCGAAATGAATGGGCTCCTATATCTCTTATTACATTTTACTATTATCTGTGTTCTTGAAGGGATTTGTGTTTTTCATCTGTACCGTGGAAGTGTTGTGGAATAGTGTGCCCCTGCTCATCTCATCTCAGTGTGTATTCAGTGTGTGTATTCAGTGTATTCAGTGATTTCACATTGATAGCTTGAAGTAAATCTGGTGGTGGGGGAATTTACAGCACCCAGAAATCAGGCCTTCATTTGTTGTTATGTTGATTGACTAGAATTTATGAAATGATGTAGAAAATGTTAATAATGCTGATTAAACTTTAATGTGTTTTGTGTCTGTAGCTACTACATTGTGAATAGAATAGCATACAGAATTGAGGAACAATTATTTTTGTATTTAAAGACCATTGTTCAGTTTGCCAAAGAAGTCACTAGAGTCGTTGATGAATAAGTGAAGTTCTTGATTAATAAATGAAGTTCTGATATGGTTCTTTGTTGTATGAGTCTTACTTGTTAACATAAACAAGTTAAAACCCCAAATTCATGTTAGAACTACACTTGAAGAGATGCTTGCTAGGTATTTACCAGTATATATCTGGCCAATACCTTCAACTCCTGCCGCATCCCATGTACACCAAATGACCTGGCCTCCCAGCACTGACTATTGGTTCCAGAGCAGTGGACATTGCAAGTGACATCGGAAGGGATGATTAGAGAAAATGGGACATGAGGCCTTGAAGGGAATGGGAAAAGGCAAATTGAGGAGGGGATGAAGGGGCGGAGGAGCTAGCCCATATCTATGAGTACATATGTGTGAGAATATATAGCTAAAGTTTACTTAGAATGTGTTTCTTTACAAACTTCAATGCATATTCCGTGCATATTCAAGGATATACATTTGTACATGCATGTACATAAACAGGCATTCAAGCACATAACTACAATAGAGTGATTTTTATTTATTCATTTTTAAACACGCCAATGCATGGACATATTAATGTGTATGTGCAATGAATGTTTCAAAACTTTCAAAATCACTGGCTAATTGTTTTCCCCACTTCTTTTTACTCAAACCTTAAATACATTTTTTCAGAATTTCCTATCATTGGCAGGAAATAGCTATATTTTAAGTTATGTGCTTTCTAAATAATTCTGGATATTATAAAACCCCAAAAGAAGTTCTACTTCAGTGACTGGTGCACAGTGAGTATTCCTAGCTTATGCATACACAGATATTTATTGGATAATGATATGTCAAATGATGTTCGGGGCACTTGGGATTCAGAAAGAATTGGGTAGCGTCCTTGCCTTCAAATATCTCATAGAAAACAGAAATTAAACAAATACAATTTATGATCTGATATTGGGGCCAGGATAGAAGCCTGATCCTCATGTACGTCACACTCTCTCCAGCTTCTAAGACCTCATATATATTATTCCACTCTCTGGAAAATTCTAGTTCTGCTTTTCACCTAACTCCTATTTATTTGCTGTATCTCAGATAGCGTGTCTCTTCTTTTGAAAGGCTATACCTTGCCTCCATCTTGATGTATACCGTCAGGACATCTTGAATTCTCCTACCAATATGAGCACTTATCACTGTTTGTTGTAGTTTCTTGATTTGTTGTAGTTTCTTGATTTGTTGTCTTCCTCAACACACCATGAGCTCCACAAGGACTGAGATCAGGGATGCCTTACTCATTTCTATATCCAGAAGCCTACTTCAGTACCTGGCATACTAGTGTGAGGAAAGACACTATGACAGCTGGAGGGCTCAGTTCATAGGATGGGGTTTAAAAACAGTTAGAAAAAATGAATCCATGCCAATTACTTATTCAAATATCACAGTCAAAGCTGCGTGATCGGACATGACTAGACACTGGAAATTCACTGATGTAGGTTCTATTCTTAATATTCTAAATAGTAGAGGATTTTATTTAGCACAGGAAAAGAAAACTGGAAATAAAATTTGGGAGCAATGATTTTATGAGATGTCCCATTTCATAAAAAGGACACAGAAAAAAACAGTGCCTCTTTCTCTTCTTGATTCTATTCTTCCTGGTTGTAATTCCTAGAATGCTTATTGTAGAGGAAAGCATCCTAACTACTGGGCTTCTTTCCCAGAGACTCTGAGGAAGCAAGCGTCATCCCATTGCCTTTGAATTCCTCAAGTGTTAAAGTAAAATCATCCAACAATGTGCCATCACTTATAACGTCCACTGGAGGGCGATATACTACTGCCGGAACCACCTTCTATAGAATAGCCTGCGAGGACTAACTTTAGTTACCTAACGCTGTAATTGTAAGTCCTCATAGTACAGAACACCTAATAAATAAAAGAAGCCTTTTCGGTAGATGTGAAGATACAGATGAGAAGATGGAAATGGCACCAACCCTGCGCCCACCTCCCATTTCCTTACCTATGACCCCAGGGTAGACCAGGTTCCCAGGGGTCCTGTAATGCTTCGCCTCCATGCTGACTTGTGACTAACACAGTACACAGAGCTAATGGTTTCCCCTAGAACATGGCCGGTCTCTTTAGGTTCCTGTGTATCTCATCCTGGAGAGAGGACAAGATTAGGAGATGAGTGTTATTATCATAACAATTTTAGAGATGAGGACACTAAAACTGAGGTCCAAATAAGTTTATTAACTGGCCCAAGAATAAACTTATTAACTGGCCTCTTTTTTGTGCTCCCACAGCACCCCACTTTTTCCTAGTCACATTGTGTTTGGAGGCTTTCTTATTCACTAAATTGAAGTGATAAGGGCCTAGAGACTGTGTTTTTTGTTCACTGTTCTATTTTAGCATGGAAAACAGTGCTGGGCAGCCAGGAGGCATAAAGTGGAGGAAGGCAAGGCAGAGAATAGGGTATGAGGTGGGAGAAGATGATGTTCCACCTACAGTGATTCCCCTGTCACGGCTTGGATGAATGTGGATGGGGAAGAAACAGTGGATGTTGTCTGATAAATCCGTTAAGAGGCGAAAGATCGTGCTGCACCCTACGGACTTACTTCCTATTACTCCTTCTACCTTGTCACTGGATTGATGTAACTCTCACTTTAAGTGCCCCAAAAAATAGCACCTGAGAGGATATCCATAAAAGTGTCTAAATCCTAGGATTGAGTGCAATCATGACCCTTGGTTCTATTTATCAGTGTCCTCACCTAAGAGCAACCATCATAGCAAATTCTTGAGTGCCTGCTGGGCATCAGCCACTGTGCCAGCAGATTATACACACATCCTCATTTCATCCTCACAATGAAGATGAGGGTGGGCTTTTACAGATTTCTCTTTTTTTGAGACAGAGTCTTGCTCTATCACCCAGGCTGGAGTGCAATGGCGCGATCTCGGCTCACTGCAACCTCCACCTCCTGGGTTCAAGCAATTCTCCTGCCTCAGCCTCCTGAGTAGCTGGGATTACAGGCGCCCACCACCACACCTGGCTAATTTTTTGTATTTTGACAGATTTTACAAAGCTGGACAGTAGTGTATAGAAGAGTTGGGTTTTCATCCCAGGCTCAAATGCCAAGCCCTTGCTCTTTCCTTGAATTAAGAGATGCCTGAAGCCACTGTCAGCATCCACAATCACTAATGGCTCACAAACACTCATTTACGATTTTGAAGTGTAAGATATACTTTTGTACAATAGAAAAAAAAGACACCTAACACATAAAGTAACACTAACTTTAAAGTCCCCTTTGGAAATACAGGGGAAAACACTGACTTCCTGTAACCTGTGGTAAAATCCCCCAAAGACTCCCTTAAACACCTCTTCCTTTCCCCTATATTCCTTGCTGGATCTAAGCTGCTCATTGCTTCTCTTTCTCTCCAGTTCTTCCTCAGTCATCCCCTTCCCCAACAGCTTGTACTTCCTCACGTTTTAGCCCCCCTCCCATTCCTTCTCACCAGCACAGCAGTCCTCTGCTCGCATTCTCACACACAGAAACCAGCCTAGCATGCTTAAACTATATGCCAAGTTAAAAAGGGGGTCTGGCACTCTTGAACATGAGTCTTTAACCAAACTGACGAATGATTTGCACATGGCTTAGAGAAGCAAAAATAATCAAAACACGCTTTAAAAGTCATTCTCAGAAAAAGAAATTATACACACACATTTCTTTAGACAGAAACACCGACATGGTAGAAGCATGGCATCTTGAGTCATTTTTTTCCATCGCTCTGGATCCGTTCTGTGCAATGGAGTGTAATACAGGTGTAACTCAGTGCAATTTGGTATTTTCTGACCACCAACATGACTGAACCACCTAAGGCATATATGCATGTTCATGTTCTCCCTTCCTCTCTCCTTCCCTACCTCAACTGAATCCCTAGGTGGAGAAGGACTGGGGCAAGCTATTCCAAAGAACAAAGGAGGAATCTTGGGGAGTAGAGCAACATGTTGGAGAAACCAGGTCATAAAAACCTTCCCTTAAGGTAGGGGTAGGGGAAGATGGAAAAGAAGAGGTATGAATTGAAAGGTGGTAACATCTCTGTGTGATGGCACAGCCATGTCATCTCTCATATACATGGAAACACGTACTTAACTGATCTCTTTTCACTTCGTTGAAAAGGTAAGTCAAGTTAAACAATTCAACATCCAATTAAACATGTATAGAGGAGAGACAAACAGCAAATAAAAGACATATGGAGAGAGTATCCAGGCCATTTTACCCAAGTCGTAGAACAATGCAGACATTTATTGGAAGTTTGCTCCTTTGAAATATCATTATTGCACTGAAAGTTGGAAAAAAGCTAAACATTCATCAGAGGAGGTTGATTACATAAATTATGAAAGATCCATATTTTTTAATTCTATGAAGCCATAAAATCATAATATTGATAGGTATCGTTGAACCCACCACTGATTGTTTGATAAAAATTTCAGATATCAAGAATTACATATAAATTAGAGCTGGTTTTGTAATATACAGCATAGAAATACATACTTTTCTATTATTAAATATTTACTGATTTCTGAATACTTACACATGTATAAGATAGGTATTTAGAAAGATTAAAGAGGGCATACAGCACACAGACGTTTCTCATTCCTGTCTCCCATCTCCTTTCCCAGAGACAGTTTCTAAAACAAAACGGAGGAAAACACTAACATCATTCGTCTAATAAGAGCAATGAGGTATGTAATACTAATGAAGCTTAAAACATATCATATAAAAAACACTAAATAACTGGACTAAGTAGTGCAAATGTGAATGCCTCTCTAAAACGCACACGTCGCACACACACGATAATGAATGGAAGACATCCTAGCACGTTTACAAACTGTTTGTGTGTTGCCGTCCTACACACCAGACGCAAAGCACTGAAAACAACAAGCCTGTTCACAATAGCACCAGGAACGTATAGTACACAGGAATCATCTGCAGGTGATTTGTGACAACTGTAGGCAGAACTGTAAAAGCGAGAGATAAAATGGATGACTTGAAAAAGCAGAGACACTATTCTTGCTTACGGGATTCCAAGACTATCGTCGTACACTGACAAAGGTGTGCTCAAGATTTGGATCGTAAGCGAGTTCACCGAAAACTAGTGGAGAGGAAGGGTAAATACTGGAAGGGAATCCACGGTTTGACCAGGCCAGAAACATCTCTTTCACAGCATGTGATCTGTGCAGGTACTCGGACGCTCCCCGCAGGGCCGCCCGGGCCCGTTTCGGGCGGGCTTGCGGCCCCAATCACTGCTCCTGTTCGCGGGGACACGCAGGGGCTGACTGGGAGGACGTCTTGTGGATGGCCTTGGGCTCCTCGGCGGCCTCCTCCCCCGGGTAGCCACCGCCGACCTCCTCGATGACCACGCTGCGCACGGTGCCCTCGTCCAGGCAGTGCGGGGCGACGCCGTACACGCGGGGACCAGAGACAGCTGCGTGGAAACTCTGCACCCCGCACCTGCTGCAGAAGCTGTGCAGCGCCGGGTGCGTGTCGGACCGATAGGTGACGATGCTGTCCGCGCCCTGGAGCAGCGTGAAGCGCGAGGCCGGGACGAGGAAGTGGCGGTGCTGCTTCTTCCTGCACAGCCTGCAGCTGCAATCCACCACGCGCAGATCTGCCGGGGCCCAGACCGCAAAGCGGACCGCGCCGCAGTGGCAGCCCCCGGTGTGATGCACGAGGCCCGGGTACTCGAAGGTGTCCAGCAGGACCTTGGCGGCGCCCTCGCAGCTGAGGCCCCACAGCTTCCTGAACGTCTCCCAGCGCTCCCGCTGTGCGCCCAGGTCCAGCTCCTCAGGGGACTCGGCGGGCGCCGGAGGGTCCGGGAGTGGCGTGGAGGGCAGCGGGTTTCTGGGGCCCGCCTCCCGGACCCGCCGCCACCGGCGCTTCCGCCGCAACCTTCCCAGCCACCTCTTGGCCGCCGCGTGGCTCCCGACCCCGACTTGGACCCGGGGGCACTGCGCGCGGCTGGCGCCCATGACCGCGATGGCCGCGCAGCCGGCGGGGGGATCCCCGGGCCGCTTTCGCCTCCGCCGCTGAGCAGTGGCCCGGTTCCTCACTCTGCCCATGGCGCCCGCAGACTCCCGAGCGCGTGCCCAGCCCGCTACCCCCATTTCAGTCGCTGAGCAGCCTCCTTGTCTGCGCCAGCAGGATTGGCCACTTGTTGAATGTGATGTAAAGAGACCCTTCCCTTGACCCTATCACAACAGCCTTTGCTGGCTTGAAATTCTGACTGAGCCTATCAGTTGCCCCTTCTCCTAAATGTTAATTTCTATTGTTGATTCAAATCATCAGCCTAACCTTAACATATTGAACCACTGAAAATACTGTAGACCTTGTAGTTAGCATGCAGCAGCAGGTAGATCAGCTTAAGAAAAAAGAATTATTCACCTACTATAGAAGAAGCAGAGTCATACATAAAGCCTTGAGGGGTGAAAATGTATGGTGTGTAACTAGTTGTACGAAACTTAAGTGTAGTAAAGATGACGACCCACAATAGTATGTTACATCAGTGGACTCAACCAGAGAAAATACAGGGGAAAAAAATTCACTTATTTAAATCCATCTTCTAAGGACAAGAGGTAAAAGAAGAAATAGTACATTTATTTTTGCATCTGTTCCAAGAGCAAATTAACAGCTCTGGCAGGCATGAATACGAAGTGGAGACTTTGTTCTTTGGAGATTGATTTGGTTGATCGTTGGGCGTGGTCAGAGGAGAGACCCCACAAAATGAGCACAGATCTTCTTTTCTGGGGTGCAATAAGCACCTGGGAAAACAGTGAGCAGTCTTAGGAAAGCTGCTTCTTGTGAGTTAAGTAGTAACATCCACACACATGGGTTTTAAGCAGAGATGCATCCATCTACCCACAACCTAGATTCAATGATTCTTAACATTTTGTCTTATGTATCTATATGCGACAACTGTAGGCAGAACAGTAATTCGATAGGAATTACACGTATCTATATGCATGCATATGTGCATACATTTTTCAAAAACATTTAAAGTAAGATACATACATTAATGCCATATTGTCTCAATATTTCAGCGCTCACATCGTAAGAATAAAGACATAATTTTATGTATTTACTTATTTTTATAAGTTCGGTGGTACATGTGCAGGTTTGTTACATGGATATGTTGTGTAATGCTGAGGTTTGGGGTTCTAGTGTACCCATCTCCCAAATGGTGAACACGGTAGTCAACTGATACTTTTTTGACTCTCATTTCCCTCCCACCCTCCCTGCTTTTGCAGTCCCCGTGGCTATTATTTCCCTCTGTGTGTGAATGTGTATCCATTGTTTAGCTCCCACTTATGAATGAGAATTTGATTTTCTGTTTTTGGGTTATTTTATTTAGGATAATAGCCTCAAGTTTCATCTATGTTACTGCAAAATACATGATGTCATTCCTTTTTATGGCTGTGTAGTATTCCATGGTGTACATATAGCATATTTTTCTTTATTCAATCATCCGTTAATGGACACAAAGTCTGTGACTTCACTATTGTGAATAATGCTGCAATAAACATACCAGTGCAGGTGTCTTTTTGATGTAACGATTTCTTTTCCTTTGAATAGATACCCAGTAGTGGGATTACTGGGTCAAATGATAGTTCTATTTTTAACTCTTTAAGAATCTCCATACTGCTTTCCATAGGAGTTGTACTAACTCCCACCAACATGATATAAACATTTTCTTTTCTCTGCATCCTTGCCAACATCTGTTCTTTTTTGGCTTTTTAATAATAGCCATTCTGACTGCTGTGAGATAGTATCTCCCTCCTTGTGATTTTAATTTACATTTCTCTGATGATTAGCAATGCTGAGCATTTTTTCAAGTGTTTGTTGAACATTCATATGTCTTCTTTTGAGAAATGTCTGTTCATGTCCTTTGCCCACTTTTTAATGGGGTTATGTGTTTTTGTTGTTGCTGTTGTTGATTTGTTTCATTCCTTATAGATTCTGGATATTAGTCCTTTCTCAGATGCATTGTTTGTGAATATTTTCTCCTATTCTGTAGGTTGTCTGTTTACTCTGTTGATTGCTTCTTTTGCTGTGCAGACGCTGTGTAGTTTAATTAAGTCCCATTTGTCTATTTTTCTTTTTTCTGCATCGCTTTTCAGGTCTCAGTCATAAATTCTTTCCCTAGGCCAATCTCCCGAAGTTTTTTCCTAGTCTTCCTTCTATGATTTTTATAGTTTCAGGTATTACGTTTAGGTCTTTAATCCATTTTGAGTTAATTTTTGTGTATGATGAGAGATAGGGGTCCATATTCTTCTGCATATGGTGCTAATTTTCCCAGCATCATTTATTGAATAGGGTGTCCTTTCCCCATTGTTTATGTTTATCATCTTTGTTGGAGATCAGTTGGTTATAGCTATGTAGCTTTACTTCTCAGTTATCTGTTCTTTTCCATTGATGTGTCTCTTTTTGTACCAGTATCACGCTGTTTTAGTTACTACAGCCTTGTAGTTATAGTTTGAAGTTGGGTAATGTGATGTCTTTGGCTTTCGTCTCATTTTGCTTGTGATTGCTTTGACCATTCCCTCTTTTTCTGGTTCCATATGAATTTTAGAATTTTTTTTCTAATTCTGTGAAAAATTACATTGGTAATTCAATAGGAATTACATCGAATCTGTAGATTACTTTGGGCAGTATGGTCATTTTCATGATATTTCTGAGAGAGAGAGAGAGAGAGAGAGAGAGAGAGAGAGAGTTTTGCTCTTGTTGCCCAGGCTATAGTACAGTGGCATAATCTTGGCTCACTGCAACCTCTGCCTCCCAGGTTCAAGCGATTCTCTCGCCTCAGCCACCTGAGTAGCTGGGATTACAGGCATGCACCACCATGCCCAGCTAATTTTGTATTTTTTGTAGAGACGGGGTTTCTCCATGTTGGTCAGGCTGGTCTCGAACTCCCACCGTTAGGTGATCCATCCACCTAGGCCTCCCAAAGTGTTGGGATTACAGGCGTGAGCCACCGCTCCTGGTTGATATTAATTCTTCTAATCCATGAGCATGGGATGTTTTTTCATTTGCTTGTGTCATCTACAATTTCTTTCAGCAGTATTTTGTAGTTCTCCTTGTAGAGCTCTTTTATTTTCTTGCTTAAATGTATTTCTAGGTGTTTTATTTGTTTGTGTGTGAATATTGTAAAGGGAATTGAGTTTTTGATTTTGTTTTTAGCTTGAACACTGTTGATGTATAGAAGTGCAACTGATTTTTGTATGTTAATTTTGTAACCTGAAACTTTACTGAAGTCCTTTATCAAGCCTAGGAGTCTTTTGGAAGAATCTTCAGGGTTTTCTAGGTACAAGATGAAGACGTAATTTGTTATATAGCCACAATATCATTTTCACATCTGCAAATCATTAACGATTTCCTAATATCATCTAACTCCCAGTAGATGTTTAAATTTCCCCAATTGTTTCCTGAATGTGTTTTATAAAAAGATTCTTCCCCAAACACAGAGTCTAATTAATATTTACACATCAGATTCAGTTGATATGTCTTTTTAGTCTCTTCAGTCTACAATAATCTCAGCAACATTTATTTTAATAGGCCAGGCCAGTTGTCCGCTGATTTTGTCTGGTTGTTTCCCATGCCATTAGATTTCTCTACTATCTATTTCCCGTATAACTAAAAGTCACATCTAAAGGCTTAATTAAATTCAAGTTATACATGTTGGCAAGTATGTCTCATAGGTGGTATTGCGTACTTCATGTTTCATCACATCAGAGGTTTGTGATATCAAATTATTCCAGTAGTAATAAAACTAAATATTATCTCTTCACTAAAGTGGTAATTGCTATATTTTTCTATTATGAAAGCATGGTCTTTCCTTTGCAATAAGCAAGTAATCTTGTTGCAGGACAGGCAAACCCCAAATTGAGACTTAACCAAAAAGGGTTCTTGGCTTCACCCAGGAAGGATTTCAAGGGTTAGCTGGTAGTGTTAGCTAGCAATCTTCTATTGAAAATACTGCTCCTCTTAGAGCATAGCTAACTCGTAGGCAGTGCACCCAGAGTCAGCAAAGTATGATGCTCTTGGCAACTTTATTTATACTTACATGAACCCACTTTCAATTATCTGCAAATTAAGGGGCAGGTCAATGCAAATTGAGGGGTGAGTTATTTAAAACTTTCTAGGGAAGAGGTGATAACTTCTGGATTGTTGTCATGGAAAGTGTAAACTGTCATGGCGCTGGTGGGAGGGTCTTATGCTAATGAGTAATGAGAGCAGCTAGGGATTGCTCTCATCACTATCTACTGGTTCTTGCTAGTTTCTTCACTTCATCCCGTCTGGAGCATATCCTGTTTTGGTCAGCAGGGTTGTGACCAGAAAACAAGTCCTGTTGGTCTCCCACCTCAATCTGAGGGATATTATTTTGACACAGTGTATCTTGTTCCTTTACAACATTTTTCCTGCTGTTTTAGAATCAATCTGTCAGTAATGTTTGACTGAACCAATTATTTCACTGTTGTTATGTTACAAAATGATGCTTTTCTAATTCTAAATTCTCTTCTATTTTTATTAGCTGGTATTCACCTATAAAGATGGGCTTTTTCTCATCAACTGTGGATAGACTAATTTTTCTCCCTTAAAGGCAGGATATATGCTTAATTCTTTTCCTTTAATTATCAGTTTGCAGAGTAAAGAGTTGGAGTAATTGAAATCTCCAATTATGAAACGTTATTCTCCCTCTTTCTATTTTTCTCTCTCTTTCTCTGGGTATAACTTTGGATTCATGGATTTCTATTCATTTAATAATTTACAATAATCAAGTAAGTAATCAAATTATCCCAATTTTGGCTCATGGGATTTCTTTCAAACTGATTCTTGTATCCTTTTGCATTTCTCCATTAATCTTTGAGCACTTCCTTGTTTCCTGGAACAACTAGCTGCCCCAGTATCTCCTTGTAATTTTTACTTTTGCCATCCGATCCCTGGAATCACATATTTCTCCAAAGACCTCTGGTTCCTTTTAGTAGAGTATGATATTTACAACCATACTTGGGCACATCATGACACATTATTTATTATCAAAATTTTTATTGAATAGTTGTAGACATGCATACTGTTGTAATATATAATACAGAGAGATCTCTCTTTTTTT